CGTATTGAGCGAACTGGAGCAGGATGTAGGAAGCCGAGGCTGGAGGGAAGCTAAAACACACAGACATACCCTTAATGTACACAGAGTGCATTTAAACTGAAGTGTGATGAAGTGTGAGCATAAATACCCAAACACTGTGACCCAGGTCTGGTCCAGCTGGTCGTCAGATGACAAAGACTCTCCCTGAGTGTAGAAGGGGTCCACCTGAGCTGGAGACAGACACATCTGCTGCATGCCTGTCGGGACAGATATGTTACCCAGTTAATCCCCATAAACCCCACTGTGAGCAAAAGAATAAACCTTTTCAGTGCCAACACAAACAAAGCTTTGTGCACTGATGTGTCAGTATCTGCAGCTGCAAGTGTTATCAGGTTTTACAGCAACAAACAATGAAAGAATGCAGGTAAGCTACTAGCTACCAATTCTCCTAATGGTTCAGTAACAGTAGAATGAAAGTAGGATGGAAACCTTGTAAACTAGAAGATAGAGAGGAAAAATACTAAACGTGGCTGTCTAGCGAGTTAAAATCACGTTCTAGTTATATTCCTACATAAAAGAAAAGTTGCAAAGTGTCTGTTTTGCAGTCTTATCACCATCCAGCAGCCACGTCACTATTTGTCTTGTCTATTAACACAGAAAAAATGATCACAGACAGACTTCATCCGTTTTGCCATCTCGATGCAACAAAGTTGCTTTGAAGCCAGCAACTGACTGCGAAACATCCCAGCCCTGCCACCCGTCTTTGAAGCAACCAGCCTAAAGAAAACATGGCCTCATATTTGTTGCACACTGTCGCAATAATTATGGTTGTGCCACAGTCCCATACCACCATTTCCCCTTAGTGTCACTGTGATCAAAATGCAATCTAAATCTAGGCTAGTCAAAAAGTAAGAAAAGAGTAACATTTTCTAATTAGTGCTACGACCAACACTCTGCTTCCCTTTATAAAACCGAATATGCTTTTGCAATGTCACTGACCATCAACTGTCTAGATAAAAGTACCACCAGGAATTCCACTTCTCCCATTTACAACATCCACTAAGGGCATAAGCATGATGAGTGAGAGGATTTTGGGCAACTCTGTCACTCCATAACTGAGCAGTGAACCAGTGCTACAAGTGACAGTAATAATTAGTCTAACCAACTTCATATTTCTGCTCCCGTCAAAGTTTGATTGTTGACTTAGCCGGCTAATCCCTCACTTCACTAGCTACAATGACTTCTGTCACCAGCTGCTCTTTTTATTTATTTACATTTTTTTAAAGTACTCTCAGGAAGCCATTGTTTTTAAATGTTTCTACAAAAAAATTATCCTTGATGACTTCTAGCCATTGCGACGCATAACACGAGCATTACTGTTAGAAGTTGTTGTAAAGTCACTACGAACAGAGTAGTCAGCAGTGTCAGTGTGTACCTGTTCCTGGAGTGGAGGCCTGACGTGCTGACAGAGGAGACTGCATGACTGGGAACGACTGTAGAGAGTTAATCAGACAGAGGAACATGTTTTTAAAAAGCCTTTTTCACATGTCACCGTGAACTTTCATCAAACACAAGCACTAGCCAGTCATCTGGCCTGTAATGAGCCTTGTCACGCTGGTTTTTTTTTGGTTTGCCTACTTTATGTTTACTTTCATCATGCACCTGCTCAGGAATCAAGTGTGTGCCATTCAACCACCTGTATCTATTCCTGAACATCTGTGAACATATGAAAATTATATTGACCATGCATGATGATGTACAGAAATTAAGTCACCATGAAATGCTATAAGGCCTCCATGTTTCACCACCTTACTGAGGGTAGAGGCGTTGCTGTTTATGAAAGATCCCAGGAGTTCTGTCCCAAACTAGTCCTGGGTTAGGTGCTTAACTAAATGTGATTCAAAAGACACCTCTGTGAAGAAGAATGGCACTTGTGTCACTGGACACAAGGTGACTGTGTCTGACCTGGGGTCGGGGTTCATTGGGGAGCGTCTGATGGCAGAGCCTTCACCCATTTGCATTTCTTAATTCAGTCTCCCTCTCCAACCCCCCCTGCTATCCCTGCTATTGTCTTGGTTACAAAACCAGGAGGTGGCAGCTTTCATGTGAAAATAGGCGGTTTAACTCACTTTACCGTGCATGCTTACCCACCTGTCTGTGTGCAGCAAGAGGTGTCGCTACAGTAACCAGGTCGTCATGGATACTGCGAACAGGTGGGGCTCCACTCTTGTCTTTGGGTGTGGGGACAACAGGCTGCATGGCAGAACCTCCTCCACCACCTCCTCCTCCTCCATTTAAAATAAGTTAAGTATGAATATGAGTCACTAATTAATCTAAATAATCTAAAATATAAGCTTTAGACAACAATCAGGTATGTCTCTTCTTCCACTCACCTCGAAGTGTGCTTGTGCTATCCGCAAGTGGTGAGGCCAGGCTAAAAGAGCGAGGCTGTGGGCTTGCTGGAGCTGGCAGGTCACCCATCAGGAAACCGGGCAGAAACTGAGCCCCAGAGGTTGGCTTAGGAGAGGTAGGAGAGCCCAAGGTCATCGGCTCTGAACCCACTGAGAGACAGGGATAAGTTAATGACAGACGATCCAAAACAGCCATTAATAGAAATACAGCTTTAGAGCTTAGATGCTAGTATATTATTATGAAGCTTCTGACAGCATGTCTTCACTCTAACAAGTGGGAACAAATGCCACAAATCTAGGTGTTTATTATCAATGTTAAATCTGGAGATGAACGCAAATTGGTGTATATTTATTTGAATGATGCTCTGTGTAGAGGAATCTTAGTTACTGAAAAAACGAATGTTCTCATGGTGTGAACTTTATTGTGAGCCATGAGCATTTTTTTTTAAACTTATTCTCTTGTCTTAGGACATCCGCAATTTATAAAAATCTTAACTAATGATTAAAGTATTCATCTATCTATCTATATAAAGAAATACTAAAATACAGCCACTTGTGGTCGACACATGGGCTTTTTTGTAGTGCTTTACCTTCTACCTTCTTCTAAAGCAAGAAAATTAGCACCGCTGCCCCAACACAGAGTTGACAGATGACATATGACATGCTTGCCTAATAAAGCCATAAATGCCGAATAGCTAATACCATCAATCAGAACGCAACGGATTAAAATTTCTAAAAGTTTTCCTTACCTTGTAACTCCATCTCTGTTTCTTTCCTTTCTGGCCGCGATTTTCAAAAGTAGGAAGTGACGCTCGGAAAAAAGGATGGCAGCCGGCTAACGCGGCTAACAAAGCTAAATGATGTGTCACAATATCTCAGTTACTGCACCGTAAACGCGACTAGGAGTCAGTGTTGTTTTTAAGGACCTAAACTGTTACAGCTGACCGATTTAAAATCTACTCTTTCAGTCCGCCACGGGGTGTTTCTGGAGTTCAGAGGCACTGGGAAAAGGCTGACGCTAAACTGGAAGTACTACAGCTTACTTCCGGCGAATTTAGAAAGCGTCAATGTAATGACGCGTTCAATGGCCCTGCGTAACGTCGTTCATTTGTATTTTTCTAATGAATGAAATGAACGTACAAAGAAAAGAAAATATCTGAGGGCTTTTATTTTCTTACACTTAATTTTTTTTTTTATCAACACGCATACAAGGGATCTGTTTTTAATGATTCTTCAATCTGTTTATTTTTGGCTTAACCGAAAACATTTAAGGGATTCAATAAAATCTATATACTATAGACTGTACTACACTTTTTTCTTTTGCTTCATGCTGTAAGTGCTCCAGTTGTAATTCCTATTTTAGATGTTTCACATTCTGGGTAAAATCTGACCCAGTCAAATTAAACGAGGGAAAACCTGGCAACCAAGCTCTGTGGAAAAAGGGTGTTTCTGTACATAGTCACAGGAGAAAACTCTTGACCACTACAGACTTTATTCCTGTGATACAATCTGCTATTTGACGGGGAATCAGTGTTGAATGATAAACAAACAAAGATGATCCAGTGTGGCCAGTTCTTAAGGGAACTGCTTTAAAAAATAAGATTTTTGTAGCATTATTAACCCCTTGGTTTGGCCAAACGAGGATTTTTAATGAAATCACTACAACCTAAGTACCTGAAAAGTCTAACGTAAATGAACTTTTTAATAGCTTCATTTAAACATCAACATTTTAGCATCACATTAATAACCTCTTCGGGACATGTACTGACTGACGGAGTAATTGCATCCACAAAAAATCCATGAAAAGAAAAGCACTAGTAGAAAGAACAAACAAAACAATCCTTACAGGTCGTTTACATATAGTGCAGGGGTGCTCAATCCCAGTCCTCGAGAGCTACTGTCCTGCAGCTTTTAGATGCATCCCTACTCCAACACAGCTGAATCAAATGTTTGATCACCTCTTCAGCATGCCATCAAGTTTGGAGAAGGCCTGATAACAAGCCATTCATTTGATTCAGCTGTGTCGGAACAAGGATGCATCTAAAAGCTGCAGGACAGTAGCTCTCGAGGACTGGGATTGAGCACCCCTGATATAGTGTAATAAACACAAGGAATGCTAGAAAACAAATATGTTGTGAAATATTAGAAGGTTGGATTGCTGATCAATTAACCAAAAGTTCAAGAATAACTAAAATGCATTGATCTAGTAACTAAATCACCGTTTTTTTAATTGAAGTTATATTTCCCCCATTTGATTACTTTATTTTTATTATGCATAAGAAACTTTTATCTCATAATTCTTTTCCGGACACTGAAATTTCATGGAAAAGTTTTGGAAGCATTGGGATCGCACATCCACCGACGAACGAACACACCATTTGCGTGAACGTCATCAACATGTGGCAAATACTGTTAAATATTTGTCACTTATTCTACAGACAACCAAGACGTATCCGGTAGCTAGAGTTCTGTTATCAAAATAAAATTATAACGCAAGCTGGTGGGTGGAACAGGCCTCATAAACAGAATAACACAATGAAATTAGATTAACGAGTGGCTTTCTGAACATACATATAGTTTTAGTTTTGTCTGTGTGTACCGTTTAGCTGCACGACCTTTATTGTGAAGCACAGTAAGCGGAAGCAGCTTGGGCTGTTGTGTGCAACCTGATGCCGGGTCCGAGCCGGACGCTGATGCGGATCTTCATCTCCAGACTTTTGGAAGTTGGGACTCTTTAAAGGTAACAACGTCGACGCATTAAAAATTAATATTGAAATGTCTGCTAAATATTACATGAATATTGGCTTTTGCTTCACCAATAAGACAGCAAACAGCTCCGTGTCGCAGTGAAGCTAACGAGCTAGTTAGCTGAGCAAGTTTTAACAGGAATAACCACAGGCGTGTTAACAATGCATGTACTTTGATGTATCGCCTTTTTGGCTTCATCTACTGTATCAAGAAAAATATTTTTCACTAGGCTTGTTTTTCAGAATCTTCTGGAATTTTGATTAAAATATCTGAGTGCTATTATTGCTATTTATTTCTCCCTTAATCTCGTAAACAGTTCCCAAATCTACATGGATGCTCTGTTTCTGCTCAAGAATAGAGAAATAGAGGCTTTTACTTTGAAAGCTACCGTTTATCAAATGTAATTACCATTTAATTAAAAGGCAGCTTCGTGGAAGCAGATGCAGCTTTCATTTAAATTCGTGTTTTTTGTTTGTGTAAGATGTAAAATTAAATATGTTGTAGTATGTTCATTTTTCTCGAGGAAAACTGTTGTACAATAAAAGTCGCGATCCTCCTGGAGTGACCCTGAAAACAGGGAAGAAATCTGCGGATATCAAAGCAACTGTTTGAATAGTTCAAGGTGCAGGAAACTGCAATGCAAAAGACAACGGTGTAAAAAAAATGCTCCTCTTTCTTTTTATCTGCAGACCACTTGTCCTTCCAAAGCCTGAGGCCATATAAAAGTAGAGATAATGCTTCCATCCTTTAAGCCAATCCAAACAGGCCACATATGTAAACGACACTCCTAAGGTGACATGCTGGCTCTCCTGTAGTGACTGTATTTGTTTTTTTTTCTTGCTGTGGAAAGAAGCTGTTTGCCTCACTTACTGTGATATTAGTGAGGCAAGGGGATGGTAATGGCTACAGGGTTGGGTGGACAGAGTATTTAGAACTGATCTTTGTGTCTTTCTGCCCCAGTTCCTTTAGTTGCGGCTGCTTGTTGACTCATTGAAGGAACATTCCCGATGGCGCACAGGGTTGCCTTAAGGGCCCAACACCCTCGGTCCATCTGGCTTACGGTGCTGCCGATGCTCCTCACCGTCCTTTTGGTGGCAGTTTGGGCAGAGGGCCAGGACTACTATGAATTGCTGGGAGTCAGCAGGGAAGCGACGACCAAAGAGATACGACGGGCCTTTAAGCAGCTGGCGCTCACCATGCACCCTGACAAAAACCCTGTGAGTTACACGGACAAACCACAATCCAGAAACACAAAAAAATGACACAGTAATTCTCTGAAATCTGTCGCGTCTCTATGAAACCCTGACAAAACTGATGCTTATCGACTATTTCAGGGTGACCCCTCAGCCCACGAGAAGTTCCTGCAGGTCAATCGTGCCTATGAAGTTCTGAAGGATGAAGACCTGAGAAAGAAATATGATAAATATGGAGAAAAAGGACTGGACGAGCAGCAGGGCGGACGCTATGAGAGCTGGAACTACTACAGATATGACTTTGGTAAGTAACCAATGGGATGTTACAACACTTGAATGTTTTTACAATTGTTTGTATAGAAATCGTTTTATGAGGATATTGTAAAAAGAAAAGAATAGCTAGCTCTGCTGTGAACAAAGAGTTGTTCAGTATTTAAGTTCGTCTTTCTGTCCAGGTATATATGACGATGATTTGGAGATCATCACGCTGGACAGTGGAGACTTTGGTAAGATATAAAACATATTCTGTTTTTGCTTTAGTGTACAAATGAGAAAAACCTTCATCCTTTTTCGATTGTTTGATGTTTTCCTTTCAGAAAAAGCCAACACGTAAGAACAATGTAAATTTAAAGATTTCTCAAATTTATTTTGATTGGCTTTTGAAATCTTGTTGTTCTTGTTTAATGACAGACATCATACATTGCACAATTAACTTCAGAGGTGTCAAACACATTTTAGTTCATTGTCATACAGAGCCTGAGCTAATCTTAATCGTGCTGGAACAGAAAAACAGTGCAATGGCCCCAAACAACCAATCAACCCACCAAACAAACAAACTGTTTGTTTGTTCTTGTATAAAAACATTTTAGCACATTCTCAAATGTTCACATTTAGTTATCCACAATGAGCAGTCTGAGAGGACTGAAGAAAAATTATTTTGTCTGAAAGACAAAACACAGTACAAAGTCCAAAATCTAATCTGTAGTTCTCGCCCCTCAGTCTTATGTTTGACACCCCAGACGCACATTTATACACTTGTAATTACAATGTGTGGTTCCACACATTGTAATTGTAATAGTCCTACCCACTGTCACATAGACATCAGGTTCCATTCTTTCATGACGGATGTCTTTGTCTTCTTCTGATTTCAAACTCTCTGCTCATGAGTGAAGAGGCTCTCAGTTGTTTGTCTCGCATGCTGGATTGGTTCTAAAATGTTTTTTATCCTGAACTTATTTCATATCTTGTCATCAGACACAAAGAGCCTAATCTGTCAGCAGCAAATCAAAGTGAAAACACAAAGGGAATGTTTAATGGTTTTCTTGTTTGATTTTAGTTTTGGGTGAGCTGCAGAGTACAATTCAAACTTGTCAAGTTTGGGAATGGCTGGTCCAACTCCAGAGTAACTGCTATTTGCTGTCTGTTTTTTTTGTGTGTGTATATATGTGCCGTAAACCTTTTTTCCTGTAAGTCTTCAGACCTTAGCATAAAGCAGAACAGCTGTGCAGCTTTCTCCAAACTGCAGTTTTACCCCACTCTTATCAGTGGGAGCAACAGTAAAAGGATTTCAAAGGCACCACGACACAAACACCGTGTGAGAAACAAGAGCGTAAACAGGTAGTGACTGACGTGCCTGTGTGTCTGCTTCAGAAGCAGCAGTGAACTCTGGAGAAATCTGGTTCATCAACTTCTATTTCCCACGATGCTCCCACTGTCACCAGCTGGCTCCGACGGTAACACTACACAAGAAACACACTAAACACACATCCTCAGTCTTGCACCCTTTTATGATTTTGTTTTCTTCTGTGTTATATATGCATCTGTTAGAAAAAGATTCCTGGTTTTGTTAGTTTCTTGCTCAAGTTGTAACTTGATAATAATCACATAGACAGAGTTAGACTCTGTGTCAGACAGAGTGAGTTACTAAAATATGTACGTGTCTGTTTGCTTTGACCTTTGCATGTCACAGTGGAGGGATTTTGCCAAGGAGATGGATGGTGTGATCAGGATTGGAGCGGTGAACTGTGGAGACAACAATCATCTCTGCAGGAGGAAGGGCATCAACAGCTACCCCAGTCTGTACATATACAGATCAGGACAGGTGTGTTTGCTGCTTTTTGTAGCAAAAATGGATATAGCTCAACTTTGAAAAATGAATGTAGTACATGCACATACTGAGTTAGCTCAAGCACCTGAACACTACAAACCTGAGCAGGCACCAAGTAAAAGTTTCAATCGAACGTCGATAAATGAGTTTAACAGACTCATCAAAGTAATGACAAAAGCTTGAAACCAGTTGTATACAGTTACCAGTGTTAGTCCATAATTGAACTTTTCCTATGATAGGCAAACAGCTTATTTATCCTTTGCCTCCTTTGTTTGTTTACACTAAACAAAAAGTGCATGTTAAGGAAAATCAGTGAGTACGTTCTCATTCAAGGGTACATTTACTTCAACTACTGATGCTGTTGGAGAACCGAGTATAGCTTTGATTGCACTCTGTTGTGGATGCGGAGACAGACAGATGGAGACCCGACAGCCGAGTGGCTATTTCTGTTAAACCTCTTTGATGTTTGCTGCTTGAGGCACATGTTTAGTTGGTGCATTGTAATGTCACTTTTCCGCTGATGAGTTTGTGCATTCACACATTCACAAAGTAAAACCCAGACATAAAAGTTTGCGCTCACTGTTTGAAAGCTTTATTTAACATGTTCCATGTTTTGTTTCTTATAATTTCTCATCAATTCTTTGCGTTTCTGTAGAGACCAGAGAAATTCAATGGGGAGCGCAATAGAGACAACCTGGTTCGCTTCTCCATGCAGTTCATCACTACAACCATCACTCAGCTCTGGCAAGGTGAACTACAACCCGCGACCACACTGAGATGAGCTAACTTTGTGTTAGCGAGCAGTCTGGCTAAACTTTCAGTGAAATACAGTCTGTGGAGAGTTTTTCTGTTGTTCGAGTTTATTCCTCATCCTATTCTTACCGCTAATGTTTTTTTTCCAGGTAACGTGTTCAGCGAGATAGAGAGCGCGTTCTCGTCAGGGCTTGGCTGGCTGATCACCTTCTGCTCTGACAGTGGAGGTAACACATGTGCACAGTCAGCTTTTTTTTTTGCGTGCTAACACACACATACACACACATACAAGACTCTTTATGAAAAGACAGGCAGATGTGTCACAAATCAGTCTACATAACCACGCGCTCTGATACGTGGACACACAGAGTGTACTGGTGTTATCAAGCTTGTTGTTTAAAATAAATGGTGTTTGTCTCTTTTTCAGATTGCCTGGAGCCAAGAACGAGACAGAAGCTGGCAGGAATGTTGGTGAGACAACAGCAGTAATGTTTTTACAGCTGTTTATCACAGAGACATGCTGTGTCTGCTGAATAAATGAATTCACTTTAAAGATTTGAGCCAGTAGAGCATTTTATAAAGCCATGCAGGGAGGGGCACGCAGCTTTGGTTTTCAGTCTCCCAAACCCATGACTCTTACACCTGAAATACCCACTCAGAGAAATGCTTAAATCCCACCAGACACACTGCAGTGTGATTCAGAAGAATCCCTGAATCTGCTTTGTGCGCCACATCACTTACATAAAATATTTTTTATGGAAGTTGCTTCAAGCTGCACGGAGCAGATAAGGAGGACAGTAAATCAGGCACAGAGAGAATCTAGTCAAATTATAAGGCCCGGTGCAGACCACATGCTCTGCTTCTAACGATCATTCAGATTTTATGTCATTTGAAGCTGTGTGAAGAACAGAACAAAACTGCTTTAGAGATGTGATATCACAGACACACAGCAGGTGTGTTTTATGGGATTGGTTAAATTGGCCCTGGATGGATTTAGAAATTTTCAAACACTTGAAGAGGTCATTTTTTTCCTCTAAAGTACTTGAGAAGAGAGAAAAGTCAGAGAGAGAGATTTTGAAGTGACAAGGAGCAGGGGCATCTTACTACATGTAAAACGGCTGCAAAAAAAAAGATGTACAGGCAGAGCACAACGGTCAGCACAGCACAAAATTTGGGTCCTTCGCTCTAGTTAGCGGTCAGCGCAGCGCATGTTGCGTCCTATGTGAAAGGGCCTTGAGGATATATGTCACTAATAATGTTAACACTGTCCTACATGAAAGACAAAGACAAAAAAAAAGGCTTAAATGCTAAATTCTACTTATGTGAATGTGTCACCAAAGAGACCGTGTGTCTAACCACAGTGTTGCCATGTGGCTCTTTATATTTTTCAAATGATAAGCTTTATTTGGGGCTGATGAATGACAGGCAAATGTTTTCTCTGAGGGCTTGTGTGTCATCTTCATGCATTTGTCCTCTAACCTTTTGAAGTGAGGACGTACTTTGGATTTCCAGCTTGTCATTCCAATCTAATAGCTGCGAGGAACAGCCTTGTAAACGATGTCTGTGTGTGACCGACAGACCTATGACAGTTAGTGTCGTCTAGGCAATTTGATTGAATCCTATAAAGGCAGCTCACTATCCTCAAGTTATGTTTCATTTGTAACGTACATTGTGTAATGTTAAAAATCTTTAAAAAAAATCAAACTTTTATTTGTAGTTCTATCATGACAAGTTTATTAGTAGCTGTGATGCTGATGTATGTGTTGTAATAAATACTACAGCGCCTGTTTGATCTCTTTATAACTGCTAAGTGTTTGTGTCTGAATGTAGGATGGTCTGGTTAAGGTGGGATGGATGGACTGCACAGCAGATGAACAGATCTGTGCAAGTTTCCAGGTAAGGGTCAGAAGTACTATAGTAATGGTACATGCATGAGATATCTGTGTAGTTGGGTTTATATACAATGTAAGTGGGAGTATCATCTGCAAAGATGGGGGTAAATGGTTTCTACATAGTGCTTTTCTACTTTACCTCAGCACCCAAAGCACTTTATACAGCATGCCTCGTTCACCCATTCATGCATGCTTTTATCACACATTCACACTCCAATGAGACAACAACGTGGTGTTCAGTATTTTACCCAAGAATAGTTTGACATGCAGACTGGAGCAACTAGGGAACAAACCAAACCTTCCAATTAGTAAATTAGTAGATGACCTGCAATACCCCCTGAGCTACAGCCAGGAGGGAGGATGATATTTTGTCAACACATAGTGCTCTGCTTAGAACTGACTTTAGACTGCTTTAGTTATTTCCAGCAGTATTGCCTGCTTGGCTAACCTTTCTGTTGTGTTTCAGGTGACCAGTGGAGCAACTGCTTTATTCCCACCTGGAAGTGCTTTGAATAAACCAGACAGTGTACTTGTAAGACGAAGAACACACTACTGTCTGTGCTAATACTGTGTATAGTACTGGAATACTGACTCTATGTGTATGTGTTTCAGTGGCTGAATACTCTGGACAGTAAAGAAATTTATAATCAGGTCATCAACCATCTACCTGATTTGGAACTTCTCACCAGCGACAGTTTCCAGGTATTCTGACTCCAGATGCACAGTCCACCTGTGCATAATACAATTACTTGTATTGTATTACAGCGCAATTCAATATAATACAGAAGTACAATGTAAAATTGTTCTGATGCAGTGTAACTTGTTTCGTCCAGAGTAAATTGGCCCATCATCGCTGGTTAATCAGTTTTACATTTGGTAACAAAAACTCTGCCTCCAACGAGTACAAGAAGCTACAAGCTTTCCTCCGAAATGACCACATACAGGTATCTGTCTATCTGACTGTCTGTGCGTGTCTCTGCATGTATCTGTCTGCCTGCCTGTCTGACTGACTGTTTGTCCTTCCAGGTTGGCAGAGTGGACTGTATAGCGGACTCAGAGCTGTGTCAGTCTCTTTACATTCATAAACCCTGTATGGCTGTCTTTAAAGGACTGGGAATCCACGACTTTGAGATCCACCATGGTCAG